GCCTAGTTACTCACATTAGGTATGAGGTCTGCCTAGTTACTCACATTAGGTATGAGGTCAGCCTAGTTACTCACATTAGGTATGAGGTCTGCCTAGTTACTCACATTAGGTATGAGGTCATGTCGCCCAAGGAGCGTCAGCACATACCTGCAACATGTCAGTAACATGAAGAACATGACGTGCAACATAGTCATGTTTGACATGCTACATAGTCATGCGTCTCATTATATTGGGCAGTTTGCATCACCATATCCATGTAAATTATTAGCAGATGCCGCTAATTTGGAGAACATTTTTTTTGTGACACAAAAGCAACTAAACATACAAGTCTCCTAAATCTCATTCATTATAAATAATAAATTTATTATATATTTAGTTACATGTTGATTATTCATCATTGAACTTAATGACACTGTACATCATAATAGATAGTGAAGAATGATAGATTTTGTGGCACATTAGCCTAGGAATTTAACCAATATATCAAGCAGTTATCATTAAAATATATATAAATGGTGATATATACATATATATAAAATATATATCACAATTTAGATAATGAAAGACACTACAAATGTTATATATACGTATATAATATTAGGGAAAATGTGGACACTTCTCTACAGAAATATAACACCTAGTTTTCCTATAGGGATATTAGACTTATTTTTCCCCACAGGTATATTATACCTAGTTCCCCTAAATGAAATGAATATTATACCTAGTTTCTCTATATGAATATTTTCCCTAGAGTTTCCCTATAAGAAAATAACACTAAACTAGAACCACTCTGTCTAGTAACCATCTAATTCCATGCTGTAGGTGTAACTAAAATATTTTAAGTAATAGCACTAACAAGTGCCCAGTGGTAGTGGTAATCCATATACAAGTGCATTGGTAATCTATGCAGTTTGAATTCCCATTTGGTTCTTAAGAGTCAAGATTAAATTATTAATTTCATTCAAATTCATAAGTTATAAATTAATTAACACCAGTGTGTTAATTCCATACATCACACACGGCACAACAAACCTACACAGGTGGACCACATGGTTTCAGTGAACCCAACAAACACAACAAATTCATGGTGAAGCCCATGAAATGTGATGAATAATTACTGCAGAAATTATGATAAGATGTCATATAAGACTTGGAAATTTACCTAATGACCAGAGAATGAGTGCAATTCAATATTTCATGAACTAAACAATTCTTTGGATAAGGTTAGTAGGAAAAAAGGCATGTTTTTGGTAAGTAATTCTTATATATTTATCAATGTTTCAAATGCAAAAATATTTATTTTTAGGTTAAAAGAAGCTCAAAATAAGGGAATTCTTTTTCTACCACAACAATGAGAAGATTCCAAAAAAAAAAATCATCATTATATTCAAATATCTCCCTAGACCTATTTTTTGCCCAAATAACATCATACAATGAATTGATCAACCCCATGAAAAATTCAATCATTGGCATTCTCTGGTCATTAAGGAAATTTCATAGTTTAATCAGACATCTCATTATAATTACTGCATTAAATATGCATCACATTTTATTTGCATCACAGAGTTCCTTGCTTTTATATACCTCAGTGCTGGGGTATAATAGCCTGTAAAAATTACTGTAGAACAAAATTATCAAAGAACAAAAATACTGCAGCACAACATAACTGCAATGCAAAATAACTACAGCACCAAATTACTACAGCACAAAATTACTACCATATAAAATTCATCAATTTACTACAGCACCAAATTACTGAAGCACATAATTACTGCAGTATAAATTAATACAGCACAAATTGCTTCAGCACTAAATTACTGCAACACAATGTTAAGGTGGCACAAAATTAAAAAAAAAACTCACTACTCACTGCAGTGAGTGACAGAGCACACATTTTCTTGTCAACGAAAACGTGAGGTCACGGACGGACAGACAGCTGCAAAGACAGACGGACGGACGGACGGACAGGGCAAGCACAATAGTGCATTTTCACCATAAATGATAAAATGCGCTAAAAAGGCCACTAAATGCATGCAGTAACAAGAGGCTTGCTTCCAACAGCAAGTGGACGTGCCACCAACCAAGGCTGCGGTGGTATTATTGCAATTAGCTGGCCAGCCTTTGAAAATTGTTATAGAGAGTCTAGAATAACCTCCAGCATCTAGCTCCATGTAATAACCTCCAGCATCTAGCTCCATGTAATAACCTCCAGCATCTAGCTCCATGTAATAACCTCCAGCATCTAGCTCCATGTAATAACCTCTAGCATCTAGCTCCATGTAATAACCTCCAGCATCTAGCTCCATGTAAATGTCAATTTTCATAATGGCATTTTTTGGTTTATATATGTAGCTCATTCATTCATACCCATTAATGTTGACCACATTACATTAATGTTGACTACATTACCCATTAATGTTGACTGCATTACCCATTAATGTTGACCACATTACATTAATGTTGACCACATTACTTATTAATGTTGACTGCATTACCCATTAATGTTGACTACATTACCAACATACAACAGTAAATTAACATTCCCTCACAGAATAAATGATTTCCTCCACATTTCATTGTATATATAAAATTTCAACACAAAATAAATACATAAGCTCCCAACAAACTACCATTTGTTCAACACAACACAAACATGCATCAGAAGAGTGTCTGGGCAGACCGACATATGCAGGGCACCTCAATAACATCACAATAGCAACATTCAAAGATCCCAATAACAACATTTAAACATCCAAATAACAATATTTACATGCACTTATTTGCCTGATCAAGTTACCCTTGCTTATATTTCTTAAGAAATGTCTACATTTTTACATATGAAAAATTAAATTTACAGGCAGATTTTGAGTGCCATTCTTTCCACTTGAAACATAATGTGTGTTGTCAATACTTGCATATTAGTTACTTTCCTCCAATTAATCAAAAATCATGATAGTTTTATTACTTAAGACTGCTGATTTATTGTCCTAAAATAAACCAATGTGTGTTTATCTTCTTCATGCTATGNTATATTATATAATATTATATTATTATAACAGGATGTTCCAGTTAAGTCTGATTATATTGCTAGGTTCGTGGCACTCATACTTGTGGAGATGGCCAAGATGTACAGCAAGAGCCCCAAAGCTGGAGGCGATCGTGTTCACCTCCACCTGCTTGGGTGCAGCGCAGCACAACTTCCGCAGGTCATCCTCAGGGCTGTGGGTGCCTTCACCCTCTTGGGGCCCAGACCCTTCACTTAATTTGCTTCCAGAGGTATTCTCATTACAGGGAGGAGCATCCAGTAGCACATCACATCGTATCAGCGCCAGAGACACTGGCTGTACACAGGTATACAACTATACAACTGTTCTCATGTACACGACTTCTCTAAAATGCCCCAATTTGTTTGCTGTTTACAAATTCATTGCATGATACTTGATTTTGAAAATTATGCACTAGCATTTGTGTTGGCATTTGTTCTAAAGTACAGTATGGGACTAAAGTGCCATACTGTACAATTGTTCTAAAGTACATACACAATTGTTCATAATATTAGTGTAGGCTGGCAGAATTTCTTCTCTTAAGCAAGTTTTGTAAAGGAAACGTCTGGGTGCAGAAAAAACTTTTTTGTTTACAGACAGATCGTTTTGAAACTTGGTACTCATATGTAAAACAGAATTCTAAGACTTTTTTGTTCGTGGGAATTTTTCGAAAAAAATGAAAGAAAATGTGAAATTCTTAGAAAACGGAAAAAGGGGGTACTATAGAAAACTATCTCCTCCTAGGATTTCGAAGCTACAACATTGAGACGCATATCATTCGATGAGTAAGGACCATATCTATAGATTCGTCGAAGCTTTTTTAGAATTTCGAATTTTTGTGGATGGGGGAGTATTTTTTCACAAAATTTTCGAAAATTTTTCTATTTCCCCCTTTTTCTACCCCCTTTTTTCAAAATATTTTCAAAACTATAACGAAATTGGAAAAAAGCTACAACGAATCTCTAGATAATTCAATTGCAAATCGAATGGTATATGTCTCATTGCTGTAGTTTCAAAACTCTAGGAGGAGATAGGTTTGCAGTGACAATAAGTTAACTTTTCAGTAGGGCCCAACAAAGTCGCGTGCGCCTCGAAAAAGACATTCATGATACTTGATTTTGAAAATTATGCACTAGCATTTGTGTTGGCATTTGTTCTAAAGTACAGTATGGGACTAAAGTGCCATACTGTACAATTGTTCTAAAGTACATACACAATTGTTCATAATATTAGTGTAGGCTGGCAGAATTTCTTCTCTTAAGCAAGTTTTGTTAAATAATTTTTGGAAAAACAAATTTTGTTTTTCCAACACCTACGAAGAATTTAGTACGACTTATTGAAAAAACTAACAAGGAGCTAATAAATAAAACTAATTCTCTGGTCTTTAACAAAAATTGTTCATAAATACACAATTGTTCTCTAAAGTACAGTATGGGACTTCCCTAAAGTGCCCCAAAAAGTTTGTAGTTCAAAAATTTATTGCATGTTATTTAGTTTGAAAATTATGGAATATCATTTGTGTTGGCATTTTTTTGTTCAAAATGCAAGACATTGTTTACCCTGTACTAAATAGTGCATGTCAGCTCAGGCAGCACAACACTGCAGGCTGTTGAGTTCCCCCAAGTGCAATAATATTAAAATGATTGTTCTGCAGTTACCTTCTCAGGCAGCAATGAATTGAGATGTTTTTATATGCACTTTGTTTAAATTAAAATCTCTATGTCGCTCAATTTAAACTTGATACAATTGATCTGCCATAATCTGTCATTCAGAAAAAGCCTTTTCTTTGAGAAAAATATAAGTGATTAAATTTTTGAGTTAAGCTTTGGGTGTGCTAATACAATTAGTGTTTTAACCTCATAATGGTTTGTAGTTCCATTACATTTAGACATAAATTTTGACAAGTGTCATCTGAAAGTTGCATATTCCCAGACATTTTCAGACAAGAACGGAGCAGACAAAATTATATGGGCATATCAGAGCTGTTCAGAAAAAGCACATATAAGATTAAAAAGCCACTGTGACATTACAACATGAAATAAATAAACAAATAATAATGAAATTAAAAAAAAATAGGTATCCAAAGAAAAAAAATTTCATGCAAAAAAAATTTGCAGCCAGGAAACAAGAATAAGCAGAAGCAAACAAAAGTGTGTCAGAGGAGCCGGCAACTCACCTGACCAGGGGCCGTACAATCATAAATAGTTGACAACTTTATCAGCCTATCAATCAATGACATTAAATTTCCAACCTAAATTGGCTAATTACAGACAAAAAATTGGCCAATGTGAACTGCAGTGAATTTTGATAGTATGGCCCCTGAGAACCCAATAAAAGCTCCTAAACATAAAGCTTAGCTTTAACCACCACAAGTGTCAGCAAAATGATACTTTTGTGAAGCTTTGATAACCAAAGAACTGAAGTTTTACTATAAAGAGTCCACTGAATATCAGAGCCATGAGTGGTATGTTCTCAGCCAAGGAGCATGTCGCCAGACAACTATGGTTTGAGTGCCTTTTTTGGCATAATGATTTGGATTGACTTATCTGATTAGAGAAACCTATATATTATCTATGTTATACATGACAATGAATGAATTAGTCAGCAGAGCCTCCTGTTACATATAGAGCTTCCAAGTTAATGGCCTGCAACTAGTGGCCCTTGTATGTTATGTTCCATACTGTCCTAGCCTAACCTGTCCTATCCTAAACTATACAAAACAGATCCTATCCTATTTCATCCAATCCAGTCTTGTTGCATCCTTTCAAATCTGATCCTAACCTCTCCCAAAAATAATATCCTAGGTAAGCCTGTCTGTCCCACTAGGCCTGCTGTTATGCCACTCAAGCCTCATGTCTTTAGTGCTAGTCCATCAGATGAGACCAAGTAACTAGCTACTAGTAACTACTAAGTAACTAGTAACAAGCACATTATTACACAAGTCCAATCTGTATCAAACATGTATTGTAACACAGTCGTCAATAATGTATACAGCTGCAACACAAAACTCATGACCTATTCATGACTAATACATTTAACTACACAGAAATGCCTATAGTATACAACTGTCAAGTAATACATGTATAAACAACATGTGCTACAAGCATCCTACTTGTGTATCCTGGCAGACACGGGGCCCAAGTGGCCAAAGCCGGCAGCTATGGTGTTGATCTCGACCTGCTGGTTCATGACATAGGGCGGCACGAGGCAGAGGGCACAGCAGCCCGGCCTGCACTCGTTCAGCATGACATCTGAGCGCAGCAGCGCCAGGCTCACAGGCTGCGAGTTAACCTCTCAAGTTAAAATGTAAGGTAACCTCTTAATGAGTTGAAATGTAAGGTAACCTCTTAATAAGTTAAGCTGTGAGTTTGAGAGTTAACCTCTTAATAAGTTAAAAGATAAGGTAACCTCTTAATAAGTTAAACTGTGAGTCAACTCTTAATAAACTTGACACTTCTTGACCAAGTGCTTGCCAAGTACAAGATAGTCAACACTATAATTAAAGAAATTTGCACTACATATTCCGGAATCCAGCAATAAATTGTGAATGTTCCAGAAGACTAAATACAGAAGCCTTCATTGTAAGATAGTGACTACATAATAATCTAGTATTGCACTATTAGCAGCCCGTTGCACTAGAAACCGTCACCATGACATCTCACCAATATCAGGTAGCAACACTAACACCAAGGTTTTACCTAATACTAAGCAATGGCTTGGCCCAGTGACTATCCATACAGAACTAGAAATAATATTGGTTCAAGAAGCAAATTGACATCTTCATCAGTAAATAAATTTGTTGGAACAAGAAAATAAAAATATAACTCAGAACTCACTGCAGGGAGTGACAGAGAGCATATTTTCTTGTCGACAAAAACTTGAGGTCACGGACAGACAGACAGACGGACATGGCGAGCACCATAGTGCATTTTTTCCATAAATGAGAAAATGTGCTAAAAATTGGATTGAGTTGCTGCAACACAGGCAAGTAAAAAGTGAAATTTTTAGGGTATGTCTTCCGGAATTTCTTTTACCTAGTGATTAAATAAGTTTTATGAACTAATATAGACAGTTTAATGAGAACCAAACCCTCAGTTTAATGAAGCAATACTTGATTTTAATGAGCCAATACAATACAATACAAGAGAGTTCAATGAAGCAAAATAGCACTCAAATGATCCACATCCTTGGGTCTCTTTAAATCTAAAAAAATTTGTGTTGTCTTCAAGTAAATGTGAATGTAATTGTTAGAAGGATTTTAAAAGCAATAGAGCTAATAGTGGGTTTGGCAGGTGGAGTTTAGTGGTAGTTATTAAATCAAGGGATCTAACCATGACTAACTCAATAAATTCAGGAAGAAAACTTACTACTGTTAATTATAGACAGTCAAAAGAAATATCATGATTGAGAAACTATAACTAAGAAAATAGTGCTATCTACACCCAACACAGTCAATGGCTGAATATTCAATCCATTGTTTGACAGCTAATCTGAACCAAACTTAAAAATTACTAACACAAACAAACACAACACTTGAAATCATCAAAGTTTACAAAGAGATAATCAATAAGTTTATAGAAAGTACAATCAGGCCACAGGTCTTCATTGGTGAAGACGGTGCAGGGTGAGAACATGAGCTTTCATCAGGTAAAATGTGCATTATATATTACATGTTTGAAGTGATTGATAACTCTTCAATTATTAGGCTGTGAACAGTGTGTATACATTATATATTGTACGTATAATTATATATTTAATGCATTTATTCCTTGATTACAAATCATAGTAATTAGTTAATGATCTAATTTTCAATATGAAATAAGGAGACAAGAGTAAATTTGAGGCAATTTTTACAGGCATGTTCAGTGACACTGCTTTGGAGAAGGAATATTTATAGCCAGAAAAAATAAAAAAACCAATGTAATTAGTTGAATCAAACCCACTAGTGTGAAGTATTCACTTAATAAAAGTTTAGTTAGATCAGGTAATGTTTGGAGGCAAGAGCTGCAATATAAAGCAACAAGGTTCAATATCAAACTATGGGCTTCGAGTTTGAGTGACTCAAGGGATTCTTGCAGCTTCGGCAAGAATATGACGCGAATGTGGTGTTTTGTTGACAGTGTTGGTCTTTTCTGACCTATGTCATGGTGCCGTGCTAGATATCCGGCAGTCGTCCAGGGTGGTACCATAGACCCCCAAGAGGTCCGGGCATGGTATGGGAATTTCCACCATTCCACGGCCATGAACGCCCAAAGAGCAGTGGCTCCCATGCCCTCTTCTGCATACAACTGCAGCAGTGGAAGAAGCAGGACAGCGACCACTTAACGTGCGCTTAGTTGATGCACAAGTGCACACTAAGTGGTCGCTGTCCTGCTTCTAGTGGCCCTTGCAGGCAATGAGCTGCCAAGAAAACAGGCGCAACATAGCAGCGTTTCAAGGAGGGCTTCATAGTTGGCAACTGCTGGACATGCCAATTCCAGTCATGTATTGTTATTAATGTCCTGCATCTTTATGTGCGCACCATGTTAACGGTTACATTTTAAACAGCATTAGTGTTAGCGTTCCACACGAGCATTCCAGCATATGTTAGCGTTCCAGCATGAGCATTTCATGCTATTCGTATGCATTAATGTAAGGAGCAATCGCTGCAACGAGGCTACATGGAAGTATCTATAATATACTACAACGGCATGGACAGTATAGTTTTAGTGAAGCTTCAATGACACTACGGCAAGACCGTCCTTTTACTCAGACCTCCGTATCCGGTTGAGCAGATATAGAAGCACAGAGACTGTGTTTAAAGTTGATAAATGCCTTATTTATATCACTGGCTAGACGTCTCTGTTGTTCATCATAAGTTGAGTTGTCCAATTTTGCTTGAATTTGTCCGATTCCTGCACCTCTGGCAACTGACTTAGGAATAACTCAAGGCACTTAGAGAACTCTTAGAGGAACTCAAGGCACTTGGAGATCTCTTAGAGGAACTCAAGGCACTTAGACCTTTTTGAAGACTCTGGACCCTAGACCTTTGAGAAGCCCCTGGACCCTAGACCTTTGAGGAGCCCCTGGACCCTAGACCTTTGAGAAGCCCCAGGACCCTAGACCTTTGAGAAGCCCCTGAACCCTAGACCTTTGAGAAGCCCCTGGACCCTAGACCTTTGAGAAGCCCCTGGACCCTAGACCTTTGAGAAGCCCCTGGACCTTAGACATTTGCAGAGTCCCTGGACCCTAGACCTTTGAGAAGCCCCTGGACCCTAGACCTTTGCAGAGTCCCTGAACCCTAGACCTTTGAGAAGCCCCTGGACCCTAGACCTTTGCAGAGCCCCTGGACCCTAGACCTCTGAGGAGCCCCTGGACCCTAGACCTTTGAGCAGCTCAAGGGGTCCTTGAATAACAAACCAGCTATTTTATACATGTTATTACCATGAATATAAGGTACAGTCTGAATTAAGGGCAGGTGTCCTGAGATAAATTATCTGATTTTAATGGATGAGGGAAAGGTAATAAAGTGAAAAAAGAATTAAACTTCGTCATATATCAATAATGTTAATGCAGAAGCAATAACATGTCTATTTACATGTTAAACTTCTCAACATAATTTTGACAGCATGTAAACTTAGGAATAAGGTGCAACAGGTCTAAGCAGTTCAGACTAAATGTGTCAGTAAAGTAAGTAGACGAAAACCTGACACAGATGCCTTGAGTTACATCAATATAAACCTTGTAGAATTGCATAGTTACAACTGTACAGTGTACATACACTAATTACAATTATAAAATTATGTAGGATGAGAATGGTTAAAAAACATGGCAGAGAAGGCAAGAGGTTGTACTCACCTGGGCAACACCCTCCTCCCTCACTGTCATGTACAGCTCCCACAGCCGACGGGTGAAGTCATCCACTTTGATGGTGCTGACAATTATACCACAATGTCAACCTTTCCAGACTGGCAATTTGTTTGTAAAAAAACCTTCCCCAACACATGATAGAATGAAAAGTAAAAAAAAACATTTTCCAACACATGATGGAACATTATATATGATGGAACATGATGGAACAATACATTACAGTCACATTGTGTACATCTGATGATTGCACTTGGAGATTGAAAAATAAACAACAATCAACTAAAAATATTCGCTGAAAACATCAACTTAAATGAACTCTTTTGTGGGCAGACTTGAACAAGTGAAAAATTCTAATTTTGAATGTATGTAACCAAGAATTATAATAATTATTAATGTGTTACTTCTTTTTCGTATTTAATTTTGAATAGTGAAATGTCAATTTGCAATTGACAAATACATTATGTTATGTTGTTATGGAGCAAATTTAATATTTTAATAAGAAATGAATACTGAATTCATTATAACACAATATTATGAGGTTGGAGATATTAATTTCTGAAATTGTTCTAATTGAGTAATAATAAGACAGAAGCATTACTTTTGTACTCTGCACTACAGTTTGTTTTCATGTGTGTTCAGTCGTCTGGGCGAGTCTAATTCCAATTATTTTTAATAGGTATCCAAAAATTGTAGTGCGGCCAATTGCAGGTTGGTAGTGGCAGGATAATGTAACTCTAAACCCAAACCTTGCCATTTAAAAAAAAATTAAAATTGCTTAAAAAATTACATGCTTCCTTGCAAAAGTATTATGCTGCAGAACATTCCTTAATATATAACACATTGATATTTACACTTAATCACAACTGAAGTATTGTAGTAATCTTGGAGAATAGTTTCAGAAATGGGAAAAAATTTAGTCGTATATCAATAATGTTAATGCAGAAGCAGTAACATGCTTATATACATGTCAAACTTCATGACATAATTTTAGGAGCATGTAAACTTAGGTTAACCTTGAAATGAATTTTATTCTGCAACTTTGTTGTCACACGCAACTTCATGACCCATTTCCATAGCAAAATTTAGCTATAGGCTTGACTCTGCAATAGGTGCCACTTATGAATCCTGGAGCACATAAATGAGTTGCTCTATGTCAACTTCCGCTGGGTTGGCAGGGCAGCTATTAAGCTTGGTATTACTTGGCTTGGCTAACTCTTCTCATACTCTCAGGCAACTATACCTTCTCATACTCTCAGGCAACTATATGTCAAAAAGAATATTCTGACCAGAAGCTGATTTGATTGGATGGCCAAGCTGACCCAGAATGATTAAGCTAAGTGTAGTGACTCATGGGCTTCGGCTGCAATTTTAATTTAACTAAAATTTGTAAGGTTAAATGGATAAAATAATAACAGTAAAATGTGATTATACAAACACTTGACTCACTTGACAAGAGATCTCTGCAGAAAGTCATGTGAGTGAGCCACTCTGTGCATGAGTGTATTGATGAGTGGCTGCAGCTTGTAGACTTTCTCAAACTCGCGCCGGGGGAAAGGAGTCGGCAGCAGGAAGAACGGTGCCATGGAGAGGGTGTCCGTTGAGAAGCTGTCTTTGTAGCGCATGCCAGCCCCTGAATAACAAGTGGCAGAAATGTTTGAGGAGTTTTTAACCTTAGATTGCACTTGAAGAAAGTTAGGGATGATATTTAAAGATGAGCCACATTCCATGGGTAATATTTCACACTATATTTGTACATACTTCTTCTTTTATGTACTACTTTTATAAAAATACTGACTAGTTTCTTTATAGCAGAAGTGCAGGAACAAGAAAATATTGGTGACATTTTAAAAATTGTCAACTGCAGTATGACAGATCATTGAGATATATTTTTAGATGAAAAAATTTGTCATCAAAAGTTAAATCTGTAAAAAAGTCTTAAATATAGAGAGATATGTTGCATAGTGTGGCAAACAACTCTAGTACATTCAATTTTAATGTACAAACAATAAAATAAATGCTTTGCCTAATATTAGACTCACCACAACAGAACAAGAGTCACACCACACCACACACCACAACACACCACAACATACAGTCATACACTACTACCACTAAATGCTGCTGTTCAGCATGGAATACACATACCATATTGGACACATCCAATCATAGTCTGGAGAGGATGACATCACAATCCAATAACCAATCACAGTCTGGAGAGGATGACATAACAATCCAATAACCAATCACAGTCTGGATAGGATGACATAACAATCCAATAACCAATTACAGTCTGGAGAGGATGACATCACAATGACATAACAATCCAATAACCAATCACAGTCTGGAGAGGATGACATCACAATCCAATAACCCCACAATCCAATCACAGTCTGCAGAGGATGACATCACATCCACTCGCACTTTTGAGATTGACATGCATCCACCCAAAATGAAAAACTTTATGCACTATCCAAAAATGCTACACTGCTGCTGTTTTAATCAAATTTTGTACTTGTACATAGCAGCAGCAACTGACCGTGTAATAAAGCATAATCTTTGGCATCCGCAGCAAGCTGTTGCAGCAGCGGCTCAGAAAGAGGGAGGGGGATGCTGCTGTAGGGGATCTTGCTTGCAGTCTCCGCAGGTTTGCAGGTGTTTTCACAGCCTTCCTGGTTACAGCACCTGGTCTCTTGCAGCTCCTTTGGCGAACTCATTATGACTGCTTTGTCTTGGATGCAAACTACACAATGATTTTACACAATATATATATAAACCACTAATAATCAACACTTTTCTTTACTTTATGTTGCTAGGATCAAAACAAATACTGCACATAAATTTTAGTTACAAAAAATTAGCATTTGTTTACCTTCTGGGAAAAATCAGGAATGATATTTGAGAACATTTATAATATATATAGTGCACTTTCCTTCAGAACTTGTGTAACCAAGTCAAGCCATTCTAGTTTTTTTTTAAATTCAAGTATATCACCAGAGATGAAACAAGTCTCACTATGAGAGGTGACAGCAGTTAACCTTTTAGCAACCTTGCACCTTCCAACTTCCAACGAGGTATAGCACAGCCTAAAATTAATGGCAAAGTACCGTCAAATGGGGTAAAAGGGATGGGCAGGGTAAATCGGGATGCGTGTCCCACATTTCGTAGAAATGTTGTACGGTAGCAGCTTTAACTAATCAAAATATTGCAAAACTAAAAATAGTGGCATAAACTTCAATAATTTTACTATCTATTATGTATAAAGCTAGTCAAGAAATCAAACATTTACTATCTCTAAAAAATCGCTGAAAAAAAGTGTGAAAAGTACCTCTGCTAAGGTCTGGAGAAAAAAAAATCGCGATATTAAAAAATTTTACTTACATAAAAGTTGCACCCAGGTGTCGGCTTGAAAACGTAATTGATGGAGTTTAAAATTACAAACCATCCTGTAAGCTTACAGATACAGAAGAAATGCTACATGGCTGCTGATATGAAGCTTGCAGTGGACAAGGTCATTGTCAATGCTCAATTGCATGTCCATGTATACAGTACTATCACATTAATAATATGGTAATTAATGAATATGGTAATATAATATCAATAAAGGAAAAACAAGTAAAAATCACAGAAAATGTCATTTATTTTACATCTACATCATCTACAATAAAAGAAGAGGACTTCAAAGTACTGTTAGTAATGGATGAGTACACTCTGCATGCTTCAAACGTTTTAAAATTAACTTTTATTGCAAGTGTCCCAGATTACCCCGTTCCCAGGGGTAAATCAGGACGGTTTTATTCTGCATCTGGCACCTTACAAATAGCATATGGAATTTTTTTGAAGATGCCATTGGATAGCCCTCACAAAGAGCTATAAAATGAGCCTAAACTTGTTTCTGAAATGTTTCATGGTAAGAAGTTATTGACAAAAAACGCTCAAAACTATCCCTTTTTACCCCGTTTGATGGTATTTATCCAATTGGTCAAATTGGATAAACATATTCAATATAAAGATATTAAATAAATATATATGGTTTCATATATAAACAAAAATTGCCCTTATGGAAGGCAGCATATATTTATAGCTGGTTGCTGAAGGGTTAAAAGAGGTTCTCATCTTTCTGTTCAGTGTTCACTCTAGTAGAGCTTTACAATCAAAGCATCCAGTAGTATTGTTGCCGGGTCTATAATGTCTCATACCGCAGGTGAGATAAACCTGTTATCTGCTTATTTTACTAGGTAGCAACAACCCTATTCTGAATGAAGGAAAATGAAAGACTGGTTCTAATAAATAATGAATTAAAAAATGGGACAGTAAATGAACATACAACTTGATAAAATTGCAAATGTAATGATTAAACTAATTTGGAATGTGAAATGAAAATGCGCTAGTTAAGTGGATGTAAGGAGCATGGACAGGTGGAGATGAGTAGATGTAACTGCAAACAGAAAGAACAGAATGAAAATGCAAATCATGAATGTCTGATAACCTGATGGGATGTAGAATGTAAACAAAGCAAGATCCATTAATCTCCATAAAACTAGTAAAAGCTCATCTCCATATTGTGAATTTATTTTTAAAACTAATGAGTACTCACACACGGATTGAATTAAAAGGAATCACAAGTGGACAGATAAATAAAGGAACACTGCAAGATGAATTGTGAACATAACTTACTGGAATTAATTATAACCATAATGCAATATAATAAATTAACTTCTTCAAACTAAACCATATCAGTCAGAGATGAATACAAACAAAGTAAAAGCAAGGACAAAACTTAACCAAAATTATCAATGAATAAATGATATAAATTTCTATACCACTCACCAGTGCAACTGAGTGCCCAGGCTGAGTGAGATATGTACTGAGTAGGAATCCAAATACTTAAGAGTGATAATTCAAGTTTGCAAATGATACTTTGGTCATCTACACTGAAAAAGATAAAAAAATATTTAATTTAAATTGAGTTGGATTGAGAACTAAAGAAATATGATAATTAGTAAAGAGAGACATGAAGGTTGGGCTACACAGTAGCCTAATTTAACCTCCGGTAACAGTATGACATGATAAACTTAACTGCTACATATGATATCAATGACATGATTAGAAATTTCCTACTAAACACTAAAATTTTGTGGCTCCAGTTTTGATAATTGGAAACTTATGGCACAATCATGCACTTTTGTTGACAATTTGATAGGAGATACACATTAATTTGATAGGAGCTCTAGCATTACCTACTCTCACAGCTCCAAAAATGGCATAAAATGCTCTAGTCCTGGCTTGCTGATTTAGAGTATTGGCAGAAGTTTCATAAAATTACTCATAAAAAACAATCAGTTCAAGGGTGATTTTAGAAAATCACTGCTAAGAATTGCCTTTGTCATTCATTTTTTTTTATCAAAGAAATTGGGGAAAAGTCATAGGAGAAGGTAAAAGGGGCTGGATTAACTGTTCACAGGCATTTATCTCCAAATAATGGGTGGATTTTGTCTAATTTTCCAGTATGCAATCATGCATAATTCCATCAATGGTAAGCAGCCAATTTGCTTTAACCTGTATATTTTGTATTAGAATAAAATTATCTACTGCTTGATAAGATTTAATATTATGGTACTCTATCTTAATTTCTCAGTCTCTCAGGACTCAGGGGCCTTATTCCTTACCAACTTACCAAGTTACTTTACAGGCTCCAAAACACCAATTTACAGAGTCATAAAAAGGGTCAAAATAAACTGCAAACACAGGTGATGGGCATTTTGGTCTCATCAAACCTATCCAGCGACCATGGTCTATGGGTGGCTTCCAAGTTCTGCATTCTGCCAATTTGCCCAATTTTCCATAATGAGTTTGCATATAACAGGCCACTGTGCATGACAAGTCTGGCAGTGGCAACTCGTCATCAAAAATTCCAGCTACATCAAGAGCACCAGTTTGATTCCACTCTTCAGAGTGCTCTGTTTCCAGAGGAGACACTTTCCATTGTTATGATTGTTTATTGTGGCACTATGGGCCAAAAAAAACTAATAAAATAAAAAGGGGGGGGGGAATTTCAATATATTTGAGAAAATGATACTATACCAGATGGAATCCTAGTGACCGAAATTTATAACAAAATACTTACTATGTGGTTCTAGCAAAAACGAAAAAGACAGTCGAATGTTTAATGCTCATATACACACGTCCGTAGTCGACCAAAGCTTACACCCTACAGTATCGATGCACACACCACTGTGGTCAGCAGGGGTACGCAGCCGTGCACCGTGGCTAGTCTGTTCTTGAACGCGTTCATACTCTGAGCGTCAACAATATTTTCAGGGAGGCTGTTCCACATGTCAGTGACTCGAAGCGAGAAGAAATGTTGTCGCATGGATAAGTTGCAACGCTGTTTTTTTAGTTTATAGCTGTGGCCCCTGGTGTTGGTTCTTGTTTCAAATTCTAGTAATCCTTCTGGGACCTTGCACAAACCATGAGTATACTTGTATACTTCAATGAGGTCACCGC